TGGATTGTGATAAGAGTTGTACGAGCCCCCAATAGAATGATCTAAAAAGAAAGACTAATTTCATTTTCAATATTACCGTTTTAATGTTAATTAACATTAACATCAAAATTTGGCTCATGGAAAAGATTTTTTTGTGGGGGAGGGGAAGCATTGTTTTGCTTTCAGGCTCCCTTTGAAGAGGAGGCTTTACATGGCATTTGCCTTTTAGGGGGTGTGTGCGTGCTTATCGGTGTTGTTAGTACATGCTGCTGATCGTTCTTACTCATGGTGTCCCTCGGTGCGACGGAACAAAACACTGCCTGGTCCTGCATCTTCCTCACAATGGTTGCCGGGTTTGAGCCCAACATTGCAGCTCCTGTGCCAATCCGCCTTGCTGAGGGGCTGCTTGGTTTCTGCTGACTTTACCGAGCAGATGTTCTTCTCAATGTCTAGTTCCTCCTGAAAACATACCCAAAGCACATGAGAAGTCTTGGTTCTCGATTCTCTCCCCGTGAGCTGCAGGCCGCTCTGGATGGTGATCTGTCCTGGTACCTACGTACCAATGGCCTCTGAGGGCACCCACCCGCCTTCGCGGGGACCCTCCAGTGGGCCTGGGGGGACCTAAGTGGCTCTATTTCCAACACATGTCCATTGAAGCAAACTAAAGGACTTACTCTGAAGCACAGAAGCAGACAGTGCTAAGTAGCGAGCAGTGCTTGTTCTGCATTTGGGACATGCGGCTGTGGTTTGTACACGCTGTCGCCTGGGGCAGCCTGGCCTTCTCCCACTGCAGCCGAGATGGCGGAAATGAAGCGCATCCAGGATGAAATGCAATAGACCGAAGGTATCAGTCAGTGAATGAGGGCCCCAGAGCAGTTAAAAGTAGCACCATCCAATCCTAGAACAAGGATTTCAAGACCGCTCTCCAAAGGCTAGTGCGATAACGCAGGTACTAGAGAGGATGGTTGTGGCAGGAAATAATGAAGACGTTCCATGTTCAAGGCCAACGGACCTTTACTTTATTCACTGGACCCCCTTTAAACCTCCGACACCAAAAACACCACCTCGTGTTCTTACCCTAAGTGAAAGACCCCTAGACTTCCCAGATGGAGGAAGACCTGCCGCAGCTCGTCAAAATGAAACAATCTAGATGGTTGGCAGGCTAAAGCGAGAGGGCTCTTAGGAGCAAGAATGCTGACCTCCAGGTTGGACAGCTGGTCGGGAACCACTGTGACACCGTGGCCACCACAGGCCCAGCGCTGTCCTCCCTATATGTTCTCGGGAAGCAGATCGCACCTTTCCCCCGCACGTGGCTCTCTGTCGCTTGTCCAGGCCTCCTGGCATGGGGCCTCGCTGCAGATCTTGGATGACCTGGATGAGAACCGCGGACCTGTGCTGCCGGGTGGGTGTGCTACTGCCACTTCTAATCCTCATCACAACAACGTCAGGTGCGGCACACCCTCCCTTGAAGGAACTTCAGACCACATGGCAGTTGGAGATGCAGCTTCCTTAACCCAACAGGTAAGCAAGCTGGATCGACGTCTGCAGCTTCTAGAGGAAGGAGGAGACCAAGGAGGGGACGAAGCGAGAGATGGTCACGTATGCCTTCACGGTCGCCTTCTTGCTGTTTGATAGCTGCCTCTGGTTTCGCTGCTAGAGGGGACCCCAGCTCTCAAAGATATGGGGCTCGACGGCTCGAAATAGAAAGGGTTTGCAGGCATCTTTGTTTCTGTCTCTGTATTGCAGGCCGTTTTTTATAGTCCATGCCCGGAAAATGTCTTTCTCCCAGAGGCAGGGGACAGCCTCCATTTGCAGCAGTAAAGGAAGACTGGGTCTCCCTCCTGTGGGCTCCTTGGAGCCCACCCTGCAGGAACACCCGTGTGACATCCCCACCTCCACCCGCCCACCACAGGCGCCAGTGTGGGTGTGAGAGGCCTTAGATACGTCGCCGCCTTAGTCCGTGGGACTGATTCTCAAAATGGGAGAGAGGAAGGATGGAAGAGAGGATCCGAAAAAGAACCCCTCTTCTTTTCCTTTGTCTTTTATTCTCAGACAGTGCTTCATTAAACCAATTTGTAGTAACCTATTAAACCTATTTGCCGTGACTGCATCCCCAGTCCAGCCCGAACACGTTTGCAGTCGAAGAAAACCAAGTCACCTAACGCCTCGTGGACATCTTCTGTCTGCAACCGCACAGAGGAAATCCAAGCAATCATAACATCTCAGCAGTTTGGCTACTACGTGTGCCGTGCACGCTGCCTTCATCTCAGCTGTGCAGATGGTTTTCTGTAAGATGGGTTTTTACTTGGCCCGTGTGCGAATGATTTTAAGATCCACAGAATAAGGTACAAGGCACTGCATTTAATAAACTGGTCCTCCAAAGAGGGAGAGAGGGAGGGAGGGAGGGAGGGAGGGAAGGAGAGAGAGAGAGAGAGAGAAGTCTTGCCATCCTCACTTCTCCGTCCACCCCACCCCCCATTCTCACTTCTAAGCAACATTCTGGCTGCATCTTCCAAGACAAATTTGTTCATCCTTCTGGTCAAAACTCTCTGCCATCGAGTCAGTTCCAACTCCTGGCAACACGAGAGAGCAGAGTAGAATGGCCTCTCTGGGAGTCTGAAGATTTACAGCAGCAGAAAGCTTCCTCTTCCTCCTGTAGAGCATCTCTTGGGTTCAAAGTACTGACTGTGCAGTTAGCAGAGCAACATGCAACCCCTAAACCACCAGGGCTCCAGGGCATGCTATGTTCAATATTCTTCTCCAACAAGGTCATTCAAATGCAGCAGTTCTTCTTTGGTGCTCCTTATTCACTGTTCGTGTTTTATATGCATATCTCACATGCATAATCTGCCCCCCAAAATGTATCCCTGTACCCAGCTTTGCTAAGAAGTTTGTGTTTGCTTCCTTCCAGGCTGCTGGGGACCATATCCAGAAGCAAGTCTTGAATTGGGACTTTGGACTTGCTGCCCTCCGATACTGACATTGCAGCAGCGCTGTGGTTTACCACCAGGTTCCCTCTGTGCCTCCTCTGGCCTGCCACGCACCGGACCCTGGATCCCAGGAAGTACTTGGCAACAACAGGTTTTTCCATTTATTTGGGGGAGAAGGTTTGCACCCCAGCTACTGGAGTGCTGCCGCCTGTAAACCTGGTTCTTTTCCTTGCCAAGAATGAAATCGTGTCCTTTCTCCTGCAGGCTCTGAACTTTTCTTCACCTCAGATGTCCAGGCCCAGAGCTCAGCAAGCACTTAGGCTCAGTCCTGCTGATATTTTAGCACTTCTCTCTTCTCTGTACCCACAAATGTTCTTATCTTGTATTCGGAAGCAGCAGTGTCTTCTTGGTTGCCTCTTTGGACCTGTCATCAATTATCACTATGTTCTGAGGAGAGATGTTTACCATTCATGTATGCACCGCAACAATGTGATCTGCAACTCTGATGTCCTCATCTTAAAAGAAAAACTAAAAACTCAGTCTAATCCACACCCAGTCGCTACCCCGGTATCTCTCCTCTTCCCTGTCCTCTGAGGTCAAGGGTGAAGATGAGATGCCTCTGTTCTCTGGGTATCCTTATTGATTCCCTGTTGACCAGCAGGTTGGTGGTGGCCTGGAGATGCGGAATGGTGAGAAAAAATGACTTGGTTTTGTCCAAGTCTCAGTCCATGTCACAGAAGGTTTATGGGAGGGAATATTTTAAATGTACAGATTGATGAGTTACTAAGAAAATTAATAATTAAATGTAACTTCCCATGAAAAACACTAACCTTCGCAGTCCTGGTCCCTCCAAAGTACCATTCAGCTGTTCGTTTGTGCCTCCTGACTCTGCGGCTGGGGTATGACTAATTAGTGAGGTGCTTAAAGGGGATACAACTCTCTGATTTACTGGGAGGCTGCCATGCTACGTGTAAAGTTGTGGGAGGACAAGGGAATGACCTATACAAACACAGGGCAGCCTGTGCTTCCTAATCCTGGCCTCATAAAATCATTGCTACGTACTCGAAAAGGAAATGAGGAGATGTAAATAATGGGTATAAGTTTGGTATGAGCTTCACTTGCCTAGAATTTACAGATCTCAAATGTAAACCATTCCGATTTTTTATTTTTGGATTTAAATCAAGTCCTAAGAATGCATACCTATGTGTTTTTTTGCTTCTGTTCCCTTGTTATTTTACTTATTTTCTTCCTTGAGAAAAGCTATAAAGAGGGCACGAGCAGTGAGAGCAGTTTTGCTAGGTTGCATCTAATGCTTCCTGACTCCCCAGCGGAGCAACAGGACTGTCGGGATGCTTGAGACCTCAAAAATGACACTCCTTCAACTGCTGGAACGCCTTTCAACGTAGCTGTCTTCACTTACCGACATGTCCCGCTGTGGGCAGAGTTGAGGTATGGGACAGAATATCATGCATAGGAGTAGAACATTCTTAGACCATGACACTCTCAGGACATAAAATTCCAAGGAAAGGGTTTCCCCGGCCTGTCCCCTGGGTCAGAGTGGAGGTGGAGATGTGAGACTCCATCTCTGTGAACACTGTGGGAGAGTGAGGCACATAAGGAAAGCCCTCCCTCTGTTGTCTAGCAGGCTGCTCCACACACGTCCCCTCCTTTCCTTTAGACTGGCTGGTCCTTGGGTGTCTTCTTAGTTACCATGACTCCACAGTGGGGCCTGCCCGTGGTTGTTATCTCTAGCCCTAACCTCCTTCCCAGCATCAACACGCACCCCTCACACATGGAGCAGACCAGCCCAGATACAGTAGTTGAGGAATTAGTGCCTCCTCATCCCTGTCCTTCACCAGACGCTTTCCCTTAGTAACACATCTGTGTGCCTGTGGGCATTTGAGTTTGCAACCTCCGCGTGGAACATTTCTTAGTTGTCTCCACGACACTTTTTTGACCTCTTCCTATCATAAATAATGTGATGGAGTTCTTATACATTGAGTGCACACACCTACCCACTCGTAACCAACGCCACTCTAACTTACCTTCACTCCCGAGTGTCTGTGTGTCACAGGTCAAGTTTCTGGAAGCAAGTGTAAACAGGAGTTGGGTAAGAGAGTTGATTTTGTTGTTTTGTTTTGTTAAGAGTATTTTTTGGACTAAACCCAATTTTGTTTGGACACAGAAGTTTCTTGTAATGCCTCAGCTGATCCTATGGGGAGCTCAGAGCTGAGATGATCCTGCGGGTAAGTGATTCAAGTAGGCCCCAGAGAAAGGGTATGACTTTGGGCAAGGTGGCTTTCTTCAGCCATGGTCAATTTCAGGAGAGTTATGCAATGGAGAGCTGTCACCTGCCACCTCTCCCAGTGGCTATGGGATAAAGAGGTCTGTGTTTTCTACTTGGTGTGAGCCCATAGACCCTAGCCTTACCCATTGCCAGCACTTAGCATGATTAACTGAATCGAAGTTTAATGTGATTAATGGTGCCCATGGAATTACTTTTATTTTCTGTAAGATACACATTGGTTTCTCCTCCAGTCAAATGATGCCATTGGCTAATACAAATTCCCAAGCGAGAGATCCATAAAGACAGGTGCCAAACTAGCCTTGTCCCCCACCACAAGGACACCTTCCCAGGAGTTTCTTCAGCGCCCCCATCACTTCCTTGTTCCTTAAGCTGTAGATGAGAGGATTAAGCATGGGGGTGATCATTGTATAGAAGGCAGAGACCACCTTGTCCTGCTTGGAGGAGTGGTAAGCCTGGGGCCGCATGTAAGTGATCATGGCAGCCCCATAGAAGAGGGAAACCACCACCATGTGGGAGGAGCAGGTCGCAAAGGCCTTCTGCCGGCCTTCTGCAGAGCGCATGCGGAGCACCGCCACCAGGATGCGCAAGTAGGAGGCAGATATAACAGAGAAGGGCAGGAGCAACATGAGAACGCAGCAGACATAAATCATGGTCTCATAAAGAGAGGTGTCAGCACAAGCCAGTTTAAGCACAGCGGGAACCTCGCAGAAGAAGTGGTCTATCTCCTGCGAGCCGCAGTAAGGGAAGCGGAGGGTGAAGACAGCCTGGATCAGCCCATCCACCAGTCCAAAGAGCCAGGATCCTGCAACCATGAGCCAACAGACACGGCGGCTCATAATGACCGAGTACCTCAGGGGGTTGCTGATGGCCACGTAGCGGTCATAGGCCATGAAGGCCAACAGGAAGCACTCATCTCCCAGGAGAGTGAGGAAAAAGAGGATCTGGAACCCACAGCCTGCGAAAGAAATGGAGCCGCCGCCCAGGAGGAAGTCCACAGCCATGCGAGGCACAATGGTGGAGATGAGCATGAGATCCATGAGCGACAGCCAGCTGAGGAAGAAGTACATGGGGCTGTGCAGGCGAGGGTCAACGCTGATGAGGAGGATCATGAGCCCATTGCCAGACAGGGCCACCAGAAACATGACCATGATGATGGAGAAGAGGAAAAGGTGCAGCGGGGAGTGGGTGAAGAGGCCCAGGAGGATGAAGTGGGAGATGAGAGTCTGGTTCCCTGTGCAGGCCATGGTCCCTGCAGAAAGATGCGAAAGGAAGGATTTAGGTCTGGAGAGAAGCATGCCTACGTTTGTGCTGTCATGTTCAGGACATTACCATTCTGCTCGATGTCTTTGCCTCATTGAGTGTTAGTTACTTGGCTTGGAATAAAAGGTTTGGCTTCTTCAGGAGGTGAAAAAAAAGCACACCTCTACCAACGAGACAGATCATTTTCTCTTTCCATTTCAGAGATTGTCTAGACATAGTTTAAAGGAGAATATTGTTATTCATGTCAAGTGGGCAACTGCTTTTGCTTATGCTAAGAATATGCATCTGTTCGCAGCCTCACAGTTCTAGGCCAGTCTCACTACAGGATTTGCTTTTACTGGAAAAAATATGAAACCCATTCTGTGAACCGGGCACCTTCTAAAATGCCTATTCCCTTATTTTAAATTGGAGCAGCCATAGTAACTTATAGGGTAATTATAAACATTGAAGGTGATAATTAAGCCATTTTAATAGTATAGAAATGAGGATAGCTAGCATATCCCCCCCACACACGCCAGGAACTGCAATGAATACCTTCCTGCATTCTTGCACCCAATTCTTATCACCACCCTGAAATGTGGGGATGATCGCTATGCCCATTTCATAAGTGGTAAAACCAAGATGGAGGAAAGTTTGTTTTTATATCTCCTTGTCAGATAGTTAAACTCAAAGTATTTCCTTAGAGGTTTTATACATGAAAAATTAGAGACAACATTATGGACTAGCTAAGTAAATGAAGATCCAATTACATTATAAACTGATGTGTAGTCAATGGACTGTTTATGACATTTTGAGGTATTGAGCAGTGCGGTGTATGTGTGTGTGTGTGTGTGTGTGTGTGTGTGTGTGTGTGTGTGTAGGGGGGATTCCTAAATGTTTCTACAGCTTAGAAGGAAATATGCCAAGATATTTAGTTCCTTCAAGGTAGTGGGGATAAGGGTTATTTTTCTCCCAATTTCTTTGAACTTGACATATTTCCTGCAAGGAACATGGAAATATAGTTTATTTTTAATGCACTTACACTAGATACAGGATCAGAACAAAAATTATCATATAATACAAATAACTCATTAGTAAAAGTATATAAAAATATATATCTCATTCACAACTGCAAATTCGCTAGGAGAGAATGCTAATGCAAAACAAATTATTAAGCATTACAAAAAAATACACAGAGGGAAATAACTTTACTGAACGACAAAAAAGAAAGTCTAAAGAAATGGAAAGATATGCAGATTCTTGGAGAGATAGACTCAACACTGTAAGGATTCAGATTCTCCCCAAAATTAATCTATAAAATCCCTATGGCCCCAATTAAAATTCCAAAAGGACACTTCCAGCTTAAAAACAGAAATAGTGATATTTCCCTCAGAAGTCACACAAAAACAGCCAGGAAAATTGAAAATAGAAACCCCAAACTCATATTTGACAAAGTTAGGATCAGTTGAAAGCCAACATTACAGTTTATATGGAGGTACACCACAAGCTGTTTAGAATGAGCAAGAGGGATAAGTCAGTGGGAAGAGGACACATGCAAGTATAGAGCATCAAAACACCCTCTACGGGGAAGGCCGTTCACTGCAAGCCAAGACCCACAGTAAGAACTGTTGATCAGACTGGTATAAGGAGTTCATTGAACCGATTTCATTCCAAGGAGCAAAGTTGAAATATAATAAAGGGTCACATAGATAAGTCTTATTTGCAGAAATAATTCTATCTGTGTGACAGGGAATGAAGAGAGAATTTGAGCCCTCTATTTTCCAATCTCAGTAGCCTGAGGCTATCCAGTGATTATCCTCAATTACCAGGGTCCTAAGAACTGTAATGTATAAAGAACTCTGAGTTAAAATGGGAAAAAGTATCACTATTCCCTTCAAGATTCCCACTGGAATAAATGATGGCACAAATGCAATGAGAACAAGAGGAAAGGCAACAAACATTTTGAAAGCAATAAGTTGAAAGTATAACCAACGGGTAGCTCTACGAAGACCGAGTTCTATGCTGCTGGGGAGGAAAGAGACAGACTGATGTGCACCACAAACGGTCCAGGACTCAGGAGTTGATGGCAGCAGGCACCAATGCAAATAGAGATAAGAATGAGATAAAGTAGGGATTGCATAGAAATTGGAGGGGAAAAGTTTACATTAAAAGAAACATTATTTGATGGTGACAAAGAGTAGGAGGGGAAGAGGAGGAAAAGTCACTGGCTAGTGGGCAGATAAATGTTAGTTTGGGTGAAGGGGAAGGCAACATATAATAAAAGAGAAGTGGGCAAGAAGTGATGGAAGTAGAATAAGACATTGGGAGGTTTACAGGCTTTAATGGCAACAGAGGCAAAGAATGTTACAAACACATTTCTGGAGTAGAGGATCCACAACACGCTGAATGGGTGTGGGAGGGAGAATGGGAAGATAGCCAAGAAAATATGTAGATTGTAGAGGGTAGTTTCTGAAAATATATCAACACATGTGCTCACATACAGGAGAAAAAATTGTGAAAACTTCCTAGACATAACCAAACACCTCGAGGGAATGACTCAATAGGCCTGGGAGATCAGAACAACAGTTGCAGGGGACACCAAAATCAATTGCCCCACGAAGTTCTCAATGACAATGTTCTGCATCCTAATTTGGTGAATAGCATCGGGGATCATAAAGGGCTCCTGAGCAGCCATCTGAGGTTCGACCATTGATCTTTCTCCGTACAGAGGAAAGGATGATGGAAATCAAAGCACCAAACTCTAAAATATTCCTTGCCATTGAGTCGGTGCCAATTCATGCCCTGTAGGACAAGGCAGAACTGCCCCTGTGAATTTCCAAGATCATAACTTTTTAAAAAACAAACTGTTTTATTAGGAGCTAATCCATACATCATACCACCCCATAGTTCAATCATATAAGCTACGGTGTATAATCGCTACCACATCAGTTTAAAAACATTTCTTTCCAGTTTCAAGATTGTAACTTATTATGGAGTAGGAAGTACCATCTTTCTTCCGAGTAATGGCTGGTGGTTTCAAACTGCTGCCCTTGTGGATCGAAGCCAAACTCATAACCACTAAACCACCAGGGCTCCATCATCAAAAGGTACATGAAAACTTTTAGCCCAATGAAGTATTGGACCATACAAGCATCAGCCTCCACAAGCCTGGAACAAGAAGGACTAGATGATTTCTGGCTACCACTGCAAAATACTCCAAAAAGAATCCCATTAGAAGGTCCTATATAAAGTGGGAGAAAAGTGTGGAACAAAGCTCAAAATTATAAACGAGACCAGTCTTACTGGTTGGATAGAGACTGCTGGAACTACCAAGACTATGGCTGTTAGTCACCCCTCAGGGTTGGAACTGAAGATCTAAAGGGCAGCAGTTATCCAAGGGCAACACATAGAAGGTTAGGAAAGAAGGAGAGATGGAAACAGGACGCATAGAGAGGAAGTGGGATACGTGGTGGTACATTGAGAAGATTGCAATGAATGAGTTAAAACAAATGTGTATAATTTATTGGATGTAAAACTCATGATCAGCTCATAAACCACTTAATTCATAGTAAAAAGATTTCTTTTCAGAATAAAGTTTTTCTTAATAAAATATTTTTTAAAAAACAGGAAAGCAAGGATGGCTTGAAAGTCTACTGAGGAAATTTGTGGGTGTGCAGATCCCTCCCTCTACACACATATACTCTGCCCCTCCTACATTCTTTTTTTCCTCTCTTTTAGAAGGTTTTTGTTTTAAATCATTTTATTGAGGGCTCTTACAGCTCCTATAACATCCATACATCAATTATATTTATACATGTTCCCATCATCATTTTCTGAAGATTCTATTTGAGCCCTTATATCAGCTCTTCTCTTTTCTCTCTCTCCCCTCCCACCCTCATGACCCCTGGATGAATTAAGAATTATTAGTATCACGTCTTACACCAATCGCTGTCTCCCTTCCCCCACGTTCCTGTTGTTCGTCCCCCTCAGATGGGGAGGGGTGTGTGTTATGCATCGTTCATTGGGAGTGGGTCCCCCTTCCCCTCCCACCCTCATCTTTCCCCTACCCACCTTTTTTTAAAAATCATTTTATTAGGGGCTCATACAACTCATCACAATCCGTACACACATCAATTGTGTAAAGCACATTTGTACATTCATTGCCCTCATCATTCTCAAAACATTTCCTCTCCACTTAAGCATTAGGTCCTCATTTTTTCCCTCCCTCCCCACTCCCCCCTCCCTCATGAGCCCTTGATAATTTATAAATTATTATTTTGTCATATCTTGCCCTGTCCGACATCTCTCTTCACCCACTTTTCTGTTGTCCATCCCCCAGGGAGGAGGTCACATGTAGATCCTTGTAATTGGTTCCTGCCTATCCTATATTCTGACACGAAATAGGAGACTAATTCTCCAGAGAGGAGAGGGCCAAGGGTTTAAAGGCCAATGTCACCAGAATGATTTGAGGTAGAGGTGCTGTGAACACAAAGGAATTGTGTGAGGACAGGGGAGCCCTCACTCAGTTCCCAGGACCCAGATTTCTTCCATTGAAGCAGGAAATTAAATAACACTAGTCCCCTGTCCTCCACAGCTCCAGAAAATCTGACCAGCTCTAAATGAAACATCTAAAGACACTGGAATCTTAAAATAACACAATGCAGTCATATCACTGAAAGTGAAACTTCTATGGACATGTCCCACCCACCTGCTCAGGTACCCAATTGTTATTACCTTGGTAATGCTGTGGGGTAGACATTGGTCTGCCAACTGCAAGGCCAGTGGTTCCAACCCACCAGCTGCTCCGTGTACAGTCTCAGAAACCGTATATTGGGCCACTATGAGTTGGAATCAACTGAATGGCAGTGAATGGCTTTAATTTGAACTGACAACCAAGGTTCAGCAGATATCTGAAAAATATTTCCATCATAGGAAAGGAAAACAAAATGGCAATATGGATTCAAAAAGAGACTATGCAGGAAAAACTTTTAAAATTATTAACATT